GTTAAAATTGTTACCCGAATATTTGTTGCTATCATAATTTTGATATCGGTAATTTTTATTTTGAAAATTTGGATTAAATTTAAAATTTGTATTGTTTTGAAAATTTTGTTGTCTATTATTCTCACTACTTTTGTTTTGATAATTATTACCTTGATTAAAATTTTGATTTGTATTACTATAATTAGGGTTGCGATTAAAATTATTTGTTCTATTTTGATTTTTACTATCATATTGTTGTCGACCATAATTATCAAAATTATTCTTAGGATTGTTTTGAAAATTATTACTTTTATTTTGAAAATTTCTTTAAGAGTTTACTGGACCAGTCCTATCAAATTTTTCTAATAAATCTAATAAATTATTAATTGTATTAATTCCTCTCATTAATACTGCTGTATGTATGTCTTCATTAAAATGTCTGTCAATTTTAATAACTATTTCCTTCTCTAAAGGTGATGGAATTAAGTCTTTAGCTTTATTTATTGTTTTTATTGCATAAGCTGACCTTAATAATTTTCCGCTTGGATTATATTGACCAAATTCTAAATTTGTACTTATTTTATAACGAATATTTTCATTCCAAAATCGATTAATTAATTTTTCTCTAAAACTCAAAAAATTATCATCTTCCGACTTAACTAAATTCCACCATTCTTTAGAAAACCCTTCTAAACATGTTTGAATAAAATATTTGAATTCTGAATTTAAAATATCATTGACTTGTATGTAATTTTCTAATTCTTTCAAAAAAATCATGGGTCTTTCCTGAGTAGTCCCAGAAAATTTAGGAGGAGTATATTATCTTATCCATGAATTTTTATTAAAATTATCATTATTTCTTATACTACTTATTTTTTGTTCAAAATATACTTGATTTTCTTGAATTGTTTTTACTTTATTTTCATTATCTAAACTTAAAATTGTATTTTCTTCAGTACTTAGATGTAAGTTATTAATTTTGCCATCCATATCATGAATTTTGTTAGCTACTTTGTCCAGTGATTCATCTACATTTAATTTTAAATTTTCACATATTTTTTATTAATTTCAATACCGGTGTCTACTCTATCATATAATTTAGCTTTTAATTGTTCGATTTCTCTTTCATTTTGTTCTATTTTTTTACGAATTTTAGATATTTCTTTTATGCATAAATCAAGATTTTCCTTTTGTTTAGTATTCAATTTACCTAATCCTTTTTTTACTTTTTTAACCGTTATTCCCAATTCTTTCATGAAATCATCAAAATCTTTTTTAGTTTTATTTAATATTTCTTGTTCCTCATCATTAAAATCATATTCTTCATCACTATCAAAAAGAGAAATCTGAGTGATTTCTTCATCGAAAACCTCTAAAAATCCTCTATTTTTACTTTGTTTTTTAGGTATTGTACCTGTTTTCTTTACTTTATCATTATTTTCATTTAAAGACGATTTATTTTCTTTATCTGAAATAGATTTTGATGCTTCATTGTTTTTATTTTGTTCGGGATCCATTTTAAATATTCAAAACAAAAACAAAAAAAAATATTTAATTTTATATTTATTTATTCAATATCTCTATAATTGTGAATGATTTTTAGTGCACTCTCTTAATTCTACTTATCCCTATTATTTTGCGTAGTTTATATTCTTAAAGGAAAAAGAGAAAGAGAGAAAGAAAAAAAATTTCATTCAATTCAAATTCATTCAGAAAACGAAAACACCAAGGGTACCAGTTGCAGCATTATTAACTCTCACACCGGGGATATATACTATTATACGTGTTTATGTTTACCTTCTTATCAATCTTAGCCCTGATTTGGTTTGGTTCTGAGAAATTAATAAGTTCAAAAATGTGGTTGAATGACCGTAAACATAAATGTTTAGATAGTAATCACTCACATTACGTAAGTTTATACAAAAGAAAGAATGGCTATTGTCTAAATTTAAAGGGACATTGTATTTTCAAATTTAATTATTTGATACAATGGACACGTGCCAGCTATATCAACAGATATGATTGTAATAATATAATAGAATTATTTAAATTAGATCAATTCTTAAAATTATTATTTCTATAGATATATTTGAGAGAAAATATTTATTTTGTTTTTAGAAAACTTGTTGCTTGTTTACCAAATTAGAGGAATCTTTCCTATAATTATTCGGTAGATCAGCTGTTTATTTTCTTATACACTTCTACTTTTATACATGTATAAATGTCATATATCGTTTCGAAGTTGAATATTTTTACTTTACAAAAAAAATAAATATTAATTATTAATAGAAAAATAAAATATACAATCAATCATATAGTATAACTATTTATTATTTAAGTTTGAATAATTAATTGTGAGTTCGTTCTGAATGAAATTAAATGAAATAATTTTATTAATTAACTTAAATTTTTCACCTTTTATCTGACTTCTTTCTAACAAATTCGCTTTTCCTCAATCGAAATTCAAAATTATCTCGTAGGCTTATCTCTATAAAAAAAATATATAAAATAAAATTTCAACGAAATAAAAGAAACCTGTCAATTTCCATCGACTATCAAGGTCAAGTTCCCTATTCCCTAAATTAGTTAATCTATCATAAGTAAATTAATTTTGCAAGTATTTTCCTTAGACTTAGATTTATTTAATATGTTATTTATTTTACAACACATTAAAATGATCAAAGTGAAACAGAAAATAAATGAAAAAGTCATTTACTCCTCTGAAAATTTGCTAAATAAATAATTTAAGTAAATTATTTATTCCCTAAATTAACTAATTGATTGGAGGGCAGGGATTCATAATCAATTGAATCTTACACATTAACAAATTGATCGCCTATTGCAATGAATTTGAGATATATATCTTCAAGAGACTTACGATTTGCTTTTGTTACCACTTAAGGATCCAGATCATAAGGTGGTACTCCGAGTTATCAGAAACCCCTTAAGTCTTTCACCATGGCTTGACTTTGTAGATTTAATGGTTTGAGTTAAAGTGATTATTCACTTTTTGTTTCTTCTACTTGCCTAATCTTGACTTTAAGGGGTTACGCCACCCTGAAATTTTCAAAAAATTGAATTTTTTTTGCTTAATTTCAAAATTTATATTCTAACGAATATTTTGAGATGTCTCCGAAGACAATGTTTCACTAATTACAAAAGTTATGATCTTTAGAAGACAGCGGGTAGGGACGCGCCGAGAGCTGCTAGAAGCCGTCTAGCGCCTCCTTAACGACTTTCCAATTTCAGATCATAGGACATTCTTTCCATTCTAGGAGAAGAGTATTATGGCCCAGGAATCGCTGATTAAATAGTAAGTTAAAAAATTTTCAAGTTATAATACACTAAAGTATATTTTTTTCTTCTTTTGCGTTTTTCTCGAAACCACATTTTTCGAGACGGTGTACACGATAACTCAAAAACAATTCAACCGATTGACTTGCAAATTAATATACATCTTCCTAAATAGATTTTCCAGAGTGACCTGGGATTTTTTCGATTGAATAATTTGAAAACTTTTTATCCAATTTTTTAGACAGTATTTTTAGCCCAAAAAAAATTTCAATTTTTGAAGTGCTTCCATTTGCGTAAAAAAAATCTTTTTTTAAATGGCTTCGTCACTCTGTTCAAAATTTGTCACTTTTTAAGAAAAATATTGTTTTACTTGTTTCAGACAAAAATTGAACTGCCAATCAGGTACACCATCAAGGAGTGCTCCGGAAAAATTGATCCACGCCAATACTTATATATCAGTTATTTTTAATTAAAAACCATTTTTTTTAAATATTTATAAAGCTTAATATATGTATTAAAGCATCAATAAATGTAAATAAGTCCTACCTCTAACAGTTTTGTCAAAGAAATTCCTAAAAAACCATCCGATTTTCATGCGTTCAGGGTGGCGTAACCCCTTAAATATTGAATTTATAATTTATTTAAAACGCTTATTTCTTATATAATTCTGAGTTGGAACGGTTGTTAAACCAGCCTTTCAGACATTATATAAGATTATATAAAAGATAAATAAAAAATATAAATAATTAAAAAAATTAATATTTTAAATAATAAAGAGAGTTTATATTGAGCACTTGTTCTTTATTCTTTAGAACTTACTTTTATAACGTAAAATCCAATCACAAAATTTTCAATCACTCAACACAAAAAAAACTATCTGTCAAAAATTTAGTATAAATAACCTATATTTGCTCGCTTGAATAAATTTCAGAGAATGTCCAAATTTGGGTCTCCTTCTCTATTTATTGACTCGAGAAGGCGCTTCATCCCCCAAATTTCTCTCCATTTTGTGTAGGTTTAAATTTGGTAAGTGTGTAAGAGAAATTCTAACAGCTGATTGCTTGAAAATCCGCGGTTTTCCCTTCCTACCTTTCTTCGTATACTTTTGCTGTATATTTCTTACCGCCAAATTCTCCCTCTAATCGCATTTTTCGCGGCGTCCTATTTTCTTAGCCAATAATATTTAAATTATTTTGGTAAGGACAGAGCGATTTCTCTCTTTCTGATTCCGTTATAACGTATACAGAGAACAATGCCATTGTCCAGCTGTCAATGATTTCTCAATTATTAATATAGTTTCTTTAAATCTTTAATATCTTAAAAAATAATAATTTGACAAAGATTTTACTTTTACCATTAATTTTTAAATAATTTTTACTTTTATGTGACATATAATTTTTACTTTAATATTATTAATTTAAGCAATTATATAAAATAATTTGTATTATTTTATATAAAAAATGAAAAATATAGATAATTAATTTAATTGTAGTTTATATTTATTTTTAATATTGTTAATAAAAAATCTTTAAATTTGAATTAAATTAATAATTTCTTTATATTCGAAATTATATCTTTCCTCTCTTACTATTATTTTTCTCATGTGTACTTGTCTATAGTGTTATCTATGAATGACTTCTATCTCTTTTTATTATTTCTGAAATTACACGTTTGTAATTTATAATTAGTATTAAAAAATGATTTTGATTAAAATAAATATTACTATATATTATAATAATAACAACTTTAATAATACGTTAACAAAACATACAATTTCTTGGTAGCAACCAAAAAGTTTGATTTGCGGTATAAGAAATTTAATTTTCAAATTATGAATTACTTAATATATATTTAATTATTAGTTTTTATTTAATTAGTTAATATATGTTAAGATTATTATTCCACATTAATATTGTATATTTAAATAATTATTTAATTGGTTAAAGTTAATAAAGTAAACGATGGAAAGGTAAAAGTTAAATAAAAATTCAAAAAGTGTATCGTCAAAAGAGCGATGTTTCGTTGGATAAGGTTTGCCAACCTCATCAGGCTAAATTTTTTAAACAGATAAAAACAAGTTCAATATAATAATAAATTCGTTACATTTTGAAAATATCGAAAAATTTTAATATCATTAGAGCAGAATTTAAGATTATATATATATATATATAAGTACAAAAAGGTAAGATTATTAAAATAAAAATTTTTTTCCTCTTAAATTCTCCAATTTCTTGTAACATGGGATCATCTCACTGATGCATCGCTAAACCATAATTTTATTGACATTTAAAATTCAGTTTTAATATTCCGTGACTTTGATAATGACTCGAAAAAATTTCCAACTTTATTCGGTATTCTTTTTCGAGCCTATTCTTTCCGTAAATTCTTTAATATCTTTGAAGTTGACGGAACATCATCAGTTGGTAAACCTCCTCTAACAATTGGTTGTCCATTTTTCATCGAATTTTGAAAATTTAATCCCTTTGAAGTTGACGGAATATCATCAGTTGGTAAACCTCCTCTAACAATTGGTTGTCCATTTTTCATCGAATTTTGGAAATTTAATCCCTTTGAAGTTGACGGAATATCATCAGTTGGTAAACCTCCTCTAACAATTGGTTGTCCATTTTTCATCGAATTTTGGAAATTTAATCCCTTTGAAGTTGACGGAATATCATCAGTTGGTAAACCTCCTCTAACAATTGGTTGTCCATTTTTCATCGAATTTTGAAAATTTAATCCCTTCGAAGTTGACGGAATATCATCAGTTGGTAAACCTCCTCTAACAATTGGTTTTCGATCAGCGTAAAATTTAGTATCACTTGAAAATAATGTATTTAAATTATTTACTAATTTAATCATTCTTTTTTCTTTTGGAATTTCAACATCGTTATATATTACTCTCATAATATTTTCTTTTTCATACTCCACTTTTCCAAGAATATTAAAATTTATTGTATCAGTAAGATAATACAGTTTCTTGGGAACATTGAAATAATTAGGATCAATGTACGCTATTCCAAATGAATTTTTAAATTTTAATTCCAACAATAGTATTTTATCAACATAGTTAGTTCTGTGAGTATTTTTTAAAGCATCTTTTACATTAGAATAAAATGGAATATTTTCAAGACTTTGACTAATATCACCATCATATTTCTTAGCAAAATAAAGGGTACTTGGAAATTGAATAAATTTATCATCACACTGTCTAAGAGCCAATCTGTTTAATGCAGCATTAAGTCTTGTATTTGCATGTAGACTTGATGGTAAAGTTCCCTTTAAATGTGAATACCATACATAATAATCCTCAAATAGCATATTATGCTCATTTGAATGTGAATTAAAAATTTCAAACACAGATTCAACATTCTGTTCATATGTCTTATCAAAAATATTGGCTATTGTTTTTTTCGCATCTTCCAAATTTTTTACCTGATATAAAGACTTTTCAAATAGTACATCGTCAATAAAAATATGATTCGTTATTTTCCATTCGTTAAATATTTCAGAAGGTGTAATACGTGTATTTATTTCCTTTGCCAACATTTCATAAGTAGGAACACGAGTTTCAATTGGATCGATTCTTAAAATGTAACCTTTTAACATTTCTTCCATTTCAGTTAATCTATGCAGAGGAGTATTTAATGAGATAAGATTAGCTGCATTTTCAATATTTACACTTCTTTCATATGTAGTTATTTCTTTATTTTGAAGTAAAATATCATAGTTCTTTCTATTTTGCAACCAATCGGATTCCAATATTGGCTTTTGTTTTAGTTCAACAAGTAAGAAATCTTTTCCATTTACGAATTCAGTATTTTCTACTGTAAATTCCAGTTCTGGAAAAACAACAAATTGGTTTCTAAAACCCGTTTCAAATTCCGCCAAATCAACAAGTCTATATTGAGAATTAATTTTTATTTGATACTGAACTTCTGTTTTTAACGGATTCGCCGATACCTTATTAAGAAGTTTAATTTCACCATGTGGAATATCTGTCAAAAGGGTAATATCATTAAAATAAAAGTCCTTTCCTTTCAGTTGCTTCAAATATTTGACAATATTTTGTTCTTTTAATGTTTGACTAAAATACAAGTGTCTTGGCATTTTATGCTTCACTATGTCTTGAATGCTTCGTATCTTCTCTAAATTCTTTTTTATTAATAAAACTTTTACTTTATTTTTGTATAAATTAGCAAAATTTCCATATTTTAAATCTTTTATAGCTAATAAAATTTTCCCATACTCAATATCACCAAACATAAATCTAGCCCTAATGTTATCACCTAATCCACGACTATAAAAATGACTTAATTCTGACAAGCTTTCTTCTGAAGTTCCATTTGAAGTAGACGGAATATTATCAGTTGGCAATTCTCTTTTAACAATATGTTGTCCAGTTGCCCTCGAAATTTCCAAATTTAATCCATTTGATGTTGAATTAATATTATCAGTTGGCAAACTTCCTTTTATAGCAGGTTGTTCAGATTCCGGTAGTGTGGGTATTATTTTCCTATCTGCATTTGAATTAAGGTAAGGCATGTTACTTCGGAGTAGATCATTTTCTCCCATTTCAAATTTCAAATTAGAAATTTCATTAGTTTCTGGATTATATACACGATAGGAAATTTTGTTCATGTTATCTTTTATTGGCAACACGGGAACTGGTAATAGATTGCCTTCAATGGTTCTTAGTTCTGCAGTATTTTCAAATGATGATATGAATTTTGGTCCAAAAAAGTGTTCACCGCCGGGATAATAATGTAAAAAGAGTTTATAATTCTTCTCTTCATGCAGAACCTTTGGCATCAGACCATTAGTTGTGATTGGTAGTTCTATATTAGTATTCAGCTTTTTTAACATAGTTGTTAATAGCAATTTTAGATTTTTATTCATTGAAATCTTTGGAATTTTTTGAATCATAGTGTTATACATCTTGTGGAATAGTTTGGAGCCCAATTTGCTTAACTTGAAAACTAATTCAAATCCAGGATCTATCAATTGTATTAAGGCAATAGATACATCTTTTAACAGTTGCTTGGTAAGAATTTCCTGCGAAACGGTTCTAGCCAGCGCTTTTGAAATTTGATAGAATGTAGTTGATTTAGTGGCACTTGCTATTCTTGATAAACTACTTTTAATTACATATTTTTCGCTTAATCCAATTACTAAGTTGTTGGTTATTTTAGTTGCGTATTTTCCAAAAAAACTTTCTAAAGAAATCAATGAAACAATATCTGAAGTACAGCCTAATGCGGCTCCAACTTTGTCATTCTCTTGTATGCTTTCAATACAACTATAAAAAGGTATAAATGCTTTTAAAAAATTAAAAACCTTTTCTTTTGTAGTTTCATTTCTATATTGATGCATTAGGTTTTTTAAAAAGTTTGCTTTTCTTACGTTGGCAAACCTTTCAATAAATACTTCGCTATCTTCATGAGCAGATTTAAGATCATTTTGAACTATATTTAATTCCATTTGTGCATTTGGATCATTTGCAATTAATTTACCAAATTCTTGTTCGTTATTACTTCTTACGAGTAATGTCGGTAATGTATCGTTATATATAAATGCGTAAAAATTTGTTTTTTCTCTTCTTTTAATTGCAAACATTAGGGTTACGTTGGGGTTTATCTTTATTGCCATAGGTGGTATGTTCGTCATGTACATTGGATAATCTGGAACTCGTGCAAGACTAACAGTACTTCTTCTGTTTAATATTTCTATCAAATGATTATCGTTTAAAACTTTTCTTATCAAAATCTTTTCAATTTCATAATATGTGTTTCCTACATTTTCAAACTGTTTCCTATAGACATTTTCCAAATTGGGAAGATTGTCTAGATAACAACGAAGGGAAAGAGCCAATCCTTCAATGTAATGATTGTATGACATATAATTATTCACAGCTTGAGGTAAATTATTTTTATAATGAGAATTGTTACAATGTTTTTCAAGTATATTTGTGGCAATAAATGGACGATATTTTAAATCTTTCTTTTCCTTGCGAAATCTGTAAAAAAGATTGTTATTTAAGGTTCGATTTATACTTTCATTTATTGTTATATTAATATGTGAAAACAAAATATCATAAGCTTCATTTCGAACTTCTGCATTTAATAAAGTTTGATTTTTTTCTCTGAATGCTTCTTTTTCCTCAGTGGCGTAAAAAAATAATGCCGGTGTTGAAAAAAGATTAAACACCATTTCATAAGATTCGTTACCATAAGACGCCTGAAAATCAATCTCTCGTGATATTGAAATATAATTATCAAACGAAACGTTTATTTTTTCTCCAAGTATAGATCTGACAATTTTTAAACCAGCCATTGCGTATAGATAATCCACATCCATTATGTTCATATCTTTAATTTCTGGTTCGGGAAATATTGGCAGAATATATTCAAAAAAAATTGTTTTAGCTGACAAAAAATTAAGTTTCGGGCTTTTGTTTGTTTTTGAACAGTAATCTATACTTGTGTAATTGTTAAAGAGTTCCTGCTTTATAGTTTTCATCAACGTGGAATAAGATGTATTATCTGCCTTGTTGATTATTTTTGCTAAATATCCGTTAATATTACCATAGTGTGAAAATAGAGCATTGTTGATGATGTACTGATATGTTTCATCTACGTATTTTGTATCGAGTGTTTCATTTTCGCCACCACCGTAGAGATCGGTTCCTTTTAATATTGTTTGTAGAAGCTGGAGTTTTGTTTCGGTTTCATTGTTGGAATTATTGAGGTATTTAAAATAAGTATTTAGTACAGGAACAGACTGATTTCGCTGATTTAATGTAATGAGGCTTTCGTTGTAAAAGATAATTCCGAGAGTTGTAATATAGTGACAAACAGATAGATATTGTATATTTGGTGGAAGTTGTACGAAAACTGATGTGTCGTTCATCATGAGTTGATTCGCTTTTTGCTGTGTTGATTTTTTAATGTTTTTACTGTTGTAAATTTTTTATATATTTTTTGCTGTTGTATCTCTCCACTTTTGTAAATTTTTAATTTTTCATGAGAAAACCTGAAATAATTTGACATTATGTTAAATTAAGCTTTTTATTGCAACGATCGGTTGAGCGCTACGTAGGAAATTTTATTTTTCAAAATAGACCCATTTGTAAGATGATATAAAAAATTATCAACACAGATATCTACATTACCGACCATCGGTAAAACAGGAAACTGAATTTAAAAAGTTACCGACCCAGAAATCTACATCACCGACTGTCGGTAAAACAGGGATATGACGATACAAAAATTTACCGATACAGAAATCTACATTACCGACTAATGTTAAAACAGGTTTAGCAATGGGCTAAAGACTGAAATATTTAAAAAAAATTTCCATGGTTCGTACGATTTTAGCAATGGTTTATAAGTACGAGTAATAAAAATGGAAGATGCAATTGCAAATGGGTGTCGTTAAATATTTATTTATACTGTTGTCGACATTTATCGATATATTTTGTTTTAAGGATTTAATTTTTCAAACGTGTCTTATTTTTACTGCTTTAAAATTCTTTTGTTAAGTTAATTATTTATTTTGAATAAACTTTAAACTTTTTAATTTTGTCAATTAAAAATAATAAAATAGATTAATTAAACTATTTTGTTAAGTCAAAGAAATATTTTCTCTGATTATAACGGATTTTAAAACTTTCCTTTAGATGAAAAATAAGATTAAAAAATCTTGTTTTTTTGACAGAATAACAGTTATATAAGTTGTATGTAAGGTCAGTTGGGGTAAATGGGGACAAGAGGTTTTAGAGCTTAATTTACAGTCTTAAAATTAAGTTCAAGGTCAATATTTTAACTTCAGATCACCTGCAAGAGGTTTTGACTATTGCCAAGCTTTTCGCTTGACAATTGGCAGCAAGATAAAAAAAGTTATCGCTCAATGCATAAAATCTTGAGAATCAAAGTAAAACTGTTTCAGTATTTTGTCGAGCATTTCAAAGAAAACAGATTTCAAAATCATACCAAATTTTTTTCTTATTCCTTATGAATCCTATAACAGAGATTCACTTGAATTTTTGAGTTTTGTCAATTTGGTTAATAATGACAAGCTGTCCCCATTAACCCTGAGTTTTCAAATTTTTGAGGTAAATGGAGACAGCTTGTGATTATTAACCAAATAGATAAAAATCAAAATTTCAAGTGAATTTCTGTTATAGGAGTCATATGGAATCAGAAAAGAATTTGGTATGATTTTTAAGTCTGTTTTTTTCAAACGCAAGACAAAATACTAAAATAAAAAAAAATAAAAAAATTTCAATTGGTTCAACTATTTTATATCTACTACAAATTTTTTTCAAGTTTTTTCATCCCTTAATACAGTAATATAATAAAGGAAACTATTTTCTTAAAACTTTCTTAGAAACTATGCTGTGCCCATTTACCCCAAATTTTATGAAATTTTCAAAATTTTGGGGTAAATGGGGACAGTCAGTTTCATGCGTTCAAAGCTTATATACATTTTTTTCTGCTGCATAAAATTAATCCTGGGAATGTAAATAACAACTTAAAAAAAATAAATTAGAAAATATTATCTTTTAAAGGAAGAAACTTACGTAATTTGTGAAAAATTGCGATTATGTCCCCATTTACCCCAACTGACCCTACATTTTAAGAAGACTAATAAAAATAAAATTATTATATAGAATTTTTTTACTTACCCTGAATGGCCACTTATAAAGCAACACAACTATGTCGAATTGTCTCTGATAGAGGAATAATGCCACGAAAACTAGAAGGACAGTTAAATAGTTTAATATTTGACTTTATCAAGCAAAATTTTATTAATTTTTTTTTAATATTGTACGTCGTTAAATATTTATTTTTATTGTTGTTGATATATCGATATATATTTAGTTTTAAGAATTTAATTTTATAAACGTGTCTTATTTTTTACTGCTTTAAAATTGTTCACATTTATTAAATGTATTTCGATATGTAAAAGAAAATATTGAAGAAATTTGCAAAAAAAACTTTTTTTGTAGATACAGAAATGAAGCAATAAAAGTTAGAAGGATATTATAAAACATTTTAACGTTTTACTTTATCAAGCAAAATTTTATTAATTTTTTTAATATTGTACCTATGTCGTTAAATATTTATTTATACTGTTGTCGACATTTATCGATATATTTTGTTTTAAGGATTTAATTTTTCAAACGTGTCTTATTTTTACTGCTTTAAAATTCTTTTGTTAAGTTAATTAATTATTTTGAATAAACTTTAAACTTTTTAATTTTGTCAATTAAAAATAATAAAATAGATTAATTAAACTATTTTGTTAAGTCAAAGAAATATTTTCTCTGATTATAACGGATTTTAAAAATTTCCTTTAGATGAAAAATAAGATTAAAAAATCTTGTTTTTTTGAAAGAATAACAGTTATATCAGTTGTAGGTAGGGTCAGTTGGGGTAAATGGGGACAAGAGGTTTTAGAGCTTAATTTACAGTCTTAAAATTAAGTTCAAGGTCAATATTTTAACCTCAGATCACCTGCAAGAGGTTTTGACTATTGCCAAGCTTTTCTCTTGACAATTGGCAGCAAGATAAAAAAAGTTATCGCTCAATGCATAAAATCTTGAGAATCAAAGTAAAACTGTTTCAGTATTTGGTCGAGCATTTCAAAGAAAACAGACTTCAAAATCATACCAAATTTTTTTCTTATTCCTTATGAATCCTATAACAGAGATTCACTTGAATTTTTGAGTTTTGTCAATTTGGTTAATAATGATAAGCTGTCTCCATTAACCCTGAATTTTCAAATTTTTGAGGTAAATGGAGACAGCTTGTGATTATTAACCAAATAGATAAAAATCAAAATTTCAAGTGAATTTCTGTTATAGGAGTCATATGGAATCAGAAAAGAATTTGGTATGATTTTTAAGTCTGTTTTTTTCAAATGCGAGACAAAATACTAAAATAAAAAAAAATAAAAAAATTTCAATTGGTTCAACTATTTTATATCTACTACAAATTTTTTTCAAGTTTTTTCATCCCTTAATACAGTAATATAATAAAGGAAACTATTTTCTTAAAACTTTCTTAGAAACTATGCTGTGCCCATTTACCCCAAATTTTATGAAATTTTCAAAATTTTGGGGTAAATGGGGACAGTCAGTTTCATGCGTTCAAAGCTTATATACATTTTTTTCTGCTGCATAAAATTAATCCTGGGAATGTAAATAACAACTTAAAAAAAATAAATTAGAAAATATTATCTTTTAAAGGAAGAAACTTACGTAATTCGTGAAAAATAGCGATTATGTCCCCATTTACCCCAACTGACCCTAAATTTTAAGAAGACTAATAAAAATAAAATTATTATATAGAATTTTTTTACTTACCCTGAATGGCCACTTATAAAGCAAAACAACTATGTCGAATTGTCTCTGATAGAGGAATAATGCCACGAAAACTAGAAGGACAGTTAAATAGTTTAATATTTGACTTTATCAAGCAAAATTTTATTAATTTTTTTTTCATATTATACGTCGTTAAATATTTATTTTTATTGTTGTTGACATATCGATATATATTTAGTTTTAAGAATTTAATTTTTTAAACGTGTCTTATTTTTTACTGCTTTAAAATTGTTCACATTTATTAAATGTATTTCGATATGTAAAAGAAAATATTGAAGAAATTTGCAAAAAAAACTTTTTTTGTAGATACAGAAATGAAGCAATAAAAGTTAGAAGGATATTATAAAACATTTTAACGTTTTACTTTATCAAGCAAAATTTTATTAATTTTTTTTTAATATTGTACGTCGTTAAATATTTATTTTTATTGTTGTTGATATATCGATATATATTTAGTTTTAAGAATTTAATTTTATAAACGTGTCTTATTTTTTACTGCTTTAAAATTGTTCACATTTATTAAATGTATTTCGATATGTAAAAGAAAATATTGAAGAAATTTGCAAAAAAAACTTTTTTTGTAGATACAGAAATGAAGCAATAAAAGTTAGAAGGATATTATAAAACATTTTAACGTTTTACTTTATCAAGCAAAATTTTATTAATTTTTTTAATATTGTACCTATGTCGTTAAATATTTATTTATACTGTTGTCGACATTTATCGATATATTTTGTTTTAAGGATTTAATTTTTCAAACGTGTCTTATTTTTACTGCTTTAAAATTCTTTTGTTAAGTTAATTAATTATTTTGAATAAACTTTAAACTTTTTAATTTTGTCAATTAAAAATAATAAAATAGATTAATTAAACTATTTTGTTAAGTCAAAGAAATATTTTCTCTGATTATAACGGATTTTAAAAATTTCCTTTAGATGAAAAATAAGATTAAAAAATCTTGTTTTTTTGAAAGAATAACAGTTATATCAGTTGTAGGTAGGGTCAGTTGGGGTAAATGGGGACAAGAGGTTTTAGAGCTTAATTTACAGTCTTAAAATTAAGTTCAAGGTCAATATTTTAACCTCAGATCACCTGCAAGAGGTTTTGACTATTGCCAAGCTTTTCTCTTGACAATTGGCAGCAAGATAAAAAAAGTTATCGCTCAATGCATAAAATCTTGAGAATCAAAGTAAAACTGTTTCAGTATTTGGTCGAGCATTTCAAAGAAAACAGACTTCAAAATCATACCAAATTTTTTTCTTATTCCTTATGAATCCTATAACAGAGATTCACTTGAATTTTTGAGTTTTGTCAATTTGGTTAATAATGATAAGCTGTCTCCATTAACCCTGAATTTTCAAATTTTTGAGGTAAATGGAGACAGCTTGTGATTATTAACCAAATAGATAAAAATCAAAATTTCAAGTGAATTTCTGTTATAGGAGTCATATGGAATCAGAAAAGAATTTGGTATGATTTTTAAGTCTGTTTTTTTCAAATGCGAGACAAAATACTAAAATAAAAAAAAATAAAAAAATTTCAATTGGTTCAACTATTTTATATCTACTACAAATTTTTTTCAAGTTTTTTCATCCCTTAATACAGTAATATAATAAAGGAAACTATTTTCTTAAAACTTTCTTAGAAACTATGCTGTGCCCATTTACCCCAAATTTTATGAAATTTTCAAAATTTTGGGGTAAATGGGGACAGTCAGTTTCATGCGTTCAAAGCTTATATACATTTTTTTCTGCTGCATAAAATTAATCCTGGGAATGTAAATAACAACTTAAAAAAAATAAATTAGAAAATATTATCTTTTAAAGGAAGAAACTTACGTAATTCGTGAAAAATAGCGATTATGTCCCCATTTACCCCAACTGACCCTAAATTTTAAGAAGACTAATAAAAATAAAATTATTATATAGAATTTTTTTACTTACCCTGAATGGCCACTTATAAAGCAAAACAACTATGTCGAATTGTCTCTGATAGAGGAATAATGCCACGAAAACTAGAAGGACAGTTAAATAGTTTAATATTTGACTTTATCAAGCAAAATTTTATTAATTTTTTTTTCATATTATACGTCGTTAAATATTTATTTTTATTGTTGTTGACATATCGATATATATTTAGTTTTAAGAATTTAATTTTTTAAACGTGTCTTATTTTTTACTGCTTTAAAATTGTTCACATTTATTAAATGTATTTCGATATGTAAAAGAAAATATTGAAGAAATTTGCAAAAAAAACTTTTTTTGTAGATACAGAAATGAAGCAATAAAAGTTAGAAGGATATTATAAAACATTTTAACGTTTTACTTTATCAAGCAAAATTTTATTAATTTTTTTTAATATTGTACGTCGTTAAATATTTATTTTTATTGTTGTTGATATATCGATATATATTTAGTTTTAAGAATTTAATTTTATAAACGTGTCTTATTTTTTACTGCTTTAAAATTGTTCACATTTATTAAATGTATTTCGATATGTAAAAGAAAATATTGAAGAAATTTGCAAAAAAAACTTTTTTTGTAGATACAGAAATGAAGCAATAAAAGTTAGAAGGATATTATAAAACATTTTAACGTTTTACTTTATCAAGCAAAATTTTATTAATTTTTTTAATATTGTACCTATGTCGTTAAATATTTATTTATACTGTTGTCGACATTTATCGATATATTTTGTTTTAAGGATTTAATTTTTCAAACGTGTCTTATTTTTACTGCTTTAAAATTCTTTTGTTAAGTTAATTAATTATTTTGAATAAACTTTAAACTTTTTAATTTTGTCAATTAAAAATAATAAAATAGATTAATTAAACTATTTTGTTAAGTCAAAGAAATATTTTCTCTGATTATAACGGATTTTAAAAATTTCCTTTAGATGAAAAATAAGATTAAAAAATCTTGTTTTTTTGAAAGAATAACAGTTATATCAGTTGTAGGTAGGGTCAGTTGGGGTAAATGGGGACAAGAGGTTTTAGAGCTTAATTTACAGTCTTAAAATTAAGTTCAAGGTCAATATTTTAACCTCAGATCACCTGCAAGAGGTTTTGACTATTGCCAAGCTTTTCTCTTGACAATTGGCAGCAAGATAAAAAAAGTTATCGCTCAATGCATAAAATCTTGAGAATCAAAGTAAAACTGTTTCAGTATTTGGTCGAGCATTTCAAAGAAAACAGACTTCAAAATCATACCAAATTTTTTTCTTATTCCTTATGAATCCTATAACAGAGATTCACTTGAATTTTTGAGTTTTGTCAATTTGGTTAATAATGATAAGCTGTCTCCATTAACCCTGAATTTTCAAATTTTTGAGGTAAATGGAGACAGCTTGTGATTATTAACCAAATATATAAAAATCAAAATTTCAAGTGAATTTCTGTTATAGGAGTCATATGGAATCAGAAAAGAATTTGGTATGATTTTTAAGTCTGTTTTTTTCAAATGCGAGACAAAATACTAAAATAAAAAAAAATAAAAAAATTTCAATTGGTTCAACTATTTTATATCTACTACAAATTTTTTTCAAGTTTTTTCATCCCTTAATACAGTAATATAATAAAGGAAACTATTTTCTTAAAACTTTCTTAGAAACTATGCTGTGCCCATTTACCCCAAATTTTATGAAATTTTCAAAATTTTGGGGTAAATGGGGACAGTCAGTTTCATGCGTTCAAAGCTTATATACATTTTTTTCTGCTGCATAAAATTAATCCTGGGAATGTAAATAACAACTTAAAAAAAATAAATTAGAAAATATTATCTTTTAAAGGAAGAAACTTACGTAATTCGTGAAAAATAGCGATTATGTCCCCATTTACCCCAACTGACCCTAAATTTTAAGAAGACTAATAAAAATAAAATTATTATATAGAATTTTTTTACTTACCCTGAATGGCCACTTATAAAGCAAAACAACTATGTCGAATTGTCTCTGATAGAGGAATAATGCCACGAAAACTAGAAGGACAGTTAAATAGTTTAATATTTGACTTTATCAAGCAAAATTTTATTAATTTTTTTTTAATATTATACGTCGTTAAATATTTATTTTTATTGTTGTTGACATATCGATATATATTTAGTTTTAAGAATTTAATTTTTTAAACGTGTCTTATTTTTTACTGCTTTAAAATTGTTCACATTTATTAAATGTATTTCGATATGTAAAAGAAAATATTGAAGAAATTTGCAAAAAAAACTTTTTTTGTAGATACAGAAATGAAGCAATAAAAGTTAGAAGGATATTATAAAACATTTTAACGTTTTACTTTATCAAGCAAAATTTTATTAATTTTTTTTTAATATTGTACGTCGTTAAATATTTATTTTTATTGTTGTTGATATATCGATATATATTTAGTTTTAAGAATTTAATTTTATAAACGTGTCTTATTTTTTACTGCTTTAAAATTGTTCACATTTATTAAATGTATTTCGATATGTAAAAGAAAATATTGAAGAAATTTGCAAAAAAAACTTTTTTTGTAGATACAGAAATGAAGCAATAAAAGTTAGAAGGATATTATAAAACATTTTAACGTTTTACTTTATCAAGCAAAATTTTATTAATTTTTTTAATATTGTACCTATGTCGTTAAATATTTATTTATACTGTTGTCGACATTTATCGATATATTTTGTTTTAAGGATTTAATTTTTCAAACGTGTCTTATTTTTACTGCTTTAAAATTCTTTTGTTAAGTTAATTAATTATTTTGAATAAACTTTAAACTTTTTAATTTTGTCAATTAAAAATAATAAAATAGATTAATTAAACTATTTTGTTAAGTCAAAGAAATATTTTCTCTGATTATAACGGATTTTAAAAATTTCCTTTAGATGAAAAATAAGATTAAAAAATCTTGTTTTTTTGAAAGAATAACAGTTATATCAGTTGTAGGTAGGGTCAGTTGGGGTAAATGGGGACAAGAGGTTTTAGAGCTTAATTTACAGTCTTAAAATTAAGTTCAAGGTCAATATTTTAACCTCAGATCACCTGCAAGAGGTTTTGACTATTGCCAAGCTTTTCTCTTGACAATTGGCAGCAAGATAAAAAAAGTTATCGCTCAATGCATAAAATCTTGAGAATCAAAGTAAAACTGTTTCAGTATTTGGTCGAGCATTTCAAAGAAAACAGACTTCAAAATCATACCAAATTTTTTTCTTATTCCTTATGAATCCTATAACAGAGATTCACTTGAATTTTTGAGTTTTGTCAATTTGGTTAATAATGATAAGCTGTCTCCATTAACCCTGAATTTTCAAATTTTTGAGGTAAATGGAGACAGCTTGTGATTATTAACCAAATAGATAAAAATCAAAATTTCAAGTGAATTTCTGTTATAGGAGTCATATGGAATCAGAAAAGAATTTGGTATGATTTTTAAGTCTGTTTTTTTCAAATGCGAGACAAAATATTAAAATAAAAAAAAATAAAAAAATTTCAATTGGTTCAACTATTTTATATCTACTACAAATTTTTTTCAAGTTTTTTCATCCCTTAATACAGTAATATAATAAAGGAAACTATTTTCTTAAAACTTTCTTAGAAACTATGCTGTGCCCATTTACCCCAAATTTTATGAAATTTTCAAAATTTTGGGGTAAATGGGGACAGTCAGTTTCATGCGTTCAAAGCTTATATACATTTTTTTCTGCTGCATAAAATTAATCCTGGGAATGTAAATAACAACTTAAAAAAAATAAATTAGAAAATATTATCTTTTAAAGGAAGAAACTTACGTAATTCGTGAAAAATAGCGATTATGTCCCCATTTACCCCAACTGACCCTAAATTTTAAGAAGACTAATAAAAATAAAATTATTATATAGAATTTTTTTACTTACCCTGAATGGCCACTTATAAAGCAAAACAACTATGTCGAATTGTCTCTGATAGAGGAATAATGCCACGAAAACTAGAAGGACAGTTAAATAGTTTAATATTTGACTTTATCAAGCAAAATTTTATTAATTTTTTTTTAATATTATACGTCGTTAAATATTTATTTTTATTGTTGTTGACATATCGATATATATTTAGTTTTAAGAATTTAATTTTTTAAACGTGTCTTATTTTTTACTGCTTTAAAATTGTTCACATTTATTAAATGTATTTCGATATGTAAAAGAAAATATTGAAGAAATTTGCAAAAAAAACTTTTTTTGTAGATACAGAAATGAAGCAATAAAAGTTAGAAGGATATTATAAAACATTTTAACGTTTTACTTTATCAAGCAAAATTTTATTAATTTTTTTTTAATATTGTACGTCGTTAAATATTTATTTTTATTGTTGTTGATATATCGATATATATTTAGTTTTAAGAATTTAATTTTATAAACGTGTCTTATTTTTTACTGCTTTAAAATTGTTCACATTTATTAAATGTATTTCGATATGTAAAAGAAAATATTGAAGAAATTTGCAAAAAAAACTTTTTTTGTAGATACAGAAATGAAGCAATAAAAGTTAGAAGGATATTATAAAACATTTTAACGTTTTACTTTATCAAGCAAAATTTTATTAATTTTTTTAATATTGTACCTATGTCGTTAAATATTTATTTATACTGTTGTCGACATTTATCGATATATTTTGTTTTAAGGATTTAATTTTTCAAACGTGTCTTATTTTTACTGCTTTAAAATTCTTTTGTTAAGTTAATTAATTATTTTGAATAAACTTTAAACTTTTTAATTTTGTCAATTAAAAATAATAAAATAGATTAATTAAACTATTTTGTTAAGTCAAAGAAATATTTTCTCTGATTATAACGGATTTTAAAAATTTCCTTTAGATGAAAAATAAGATTAAAAAATCTTGTTTTTTTGAAAGAATAACAGTTATATCAGTTGTAGGTAGGGTCAGTTGGGGTAAATGGGGACAAGAGGTTTTAGAGCTTAATTTACAGTCTTAAAATTAAGTTCAAGGTCAATATTTTAACCTCAGATCACCTGCAAGAGGTTTTGACTATTGCCAAGCTTTTCTCTTGACAATTGGCAGCAAGATAAAAAAAGTTATCGCTCAATGCATAAAATCTTGAGAATCAAAGTAAAACTGTTTCACTATTTGGTCGAGCATTTCAAAGAAAACAGACTTCAAAATCATACCAAATTTTTTTCTTATTCCTTATGAATCCTATAACAGAGATTCACTTGAATTTTTGAGTTTTGTCAATTTGGTTAATAATGATAAGCTGTCTCCATTAACCCTGAATTTTCAAATTTTTGAGGTAAATGGAGACAGCTTGTGATTATTAACCAAATAGATAAAAATCAAAATTTCAAGTGAATTTCTGTTATAGGAGTCATATGGAATCAGAAAAGAATTTGGTATGATTTTTAAGTCTGTTTTTTTCAAATGCGAGACAAAATACTAAAATAAAAAAAAATAAAAAAATTTCAATTGGTTCAACTATTTTATATCTACTACAAATTTTTTTCAAGTTTTTTCATCCCTTAATACAGTAATATAATAAAGGAAACTATTTTCTTAAAACTTTCTTAGAAACTATGCTGTGCCCATTTACCCCAAATTTTATGAAATTTTCAAAATTTTGGGGTAAATGGGGACAGTCAGTTTCATGCGTTCAAAGCTTATATACATTTTTTTCTGCTGCATAAAATTAATCCTGGGAATGTAAATAACAACTTAAAAAAAATAAATTAGAAAATATTATCTTTTAAAGGAAGAAACTTACGTAATTCGTGAAAAATAGCGATTATGTCCCCATTTACCCCAACTGACCCTAAATTTTAAGAAGACTAATAAAAATAAAATTATTATATAGAATTTTTTTACTTACCCTGAATGGCCACTTATAAAGCAAAACAACTATGTCGAATTGTCTCTGATAGAGGAATAATGCCACGAAAACTAGAAGGACAGTTAAATAGTTTAATATTTGACATTATCAAGCAAAATTTTATTAATTTTTTTTTAATATTATACGTCGTTAATTATTTATTTTTATTGTTGTTGACATATCGATATATATTTAGTTTTAAGAATTTAATTTTTTAAACGTGTCTTATTTTTTACTGCTTTAAAATTGTTCACATTTATTAAATGTATTTCGATATGTAAAAGAAAATATTGAAGAAATTTGCAAAAAAAACTTTTTTTGTAGATACAGAAATGAAGCAATAAAAGTTAGAAGGATATTATAAAACATTTTAACGTTTTACTTTATCAAGCAAAATTTTATTAATTTTTTTTTAATATTGTACGTCGTTAAATATTTATTTTTATTGTTGTTGATATATCGATATATATTTAGTTTTAAGAATTTAATTTTATAAACGTGTCTTATTTTTTACTGCTTTAAAATTGTTCACATTTATTAAATGTATTTCGATATGTAAAAGAAAATATTGAAGAAATTTGCAAAAAAAACTTTTTTTGTAGATACAGAAATGAAGCAATAAAAGTTAGAAGGATATTATAAAACATTTTAACGTTTTACTTTATCAAGCAAAATTTTATTAATTTTTTTAATATTGTACCTATGTCGTTAAATATTTATTTATAAAGTTGTCGACATTTATCGATATATTTTGTTTTAAGGATTTAATTTTTCAAACGTGTCTTATTTTTACTGCTTTAAAATTCTTTTGTTAAGTTAATTAATTATTTTGAATAAACTTTAAACTTTTTAATTTTGTCAATTAAAAATAATAAAATAGATTAATTAAACTATTTTGTTAAGTCAAAGAAATATTTTCTCTGATTATAACGGATTTTAAAAATTTCCTTTAGATGAAAAATAAGATTAAAAAATCTTGTTTTTTTGAAAGAATAACAGTTATATCAGTTGTAGGTAGGGTCAGTTGGGGTAAATGGGGACAAGAGGTTTTAGAGCTTAATTTACAGTCTTAAAATTAAGTTCAAGGTCAATATTTTAACCTCAGATCACCTGCAAGAGGTTTTGACTATTGCCAAGCTTTTCTCTTGACAATTGGCAGCAAGATAAAAAAAGTTATCGCTCAATGCATAAAATCTTGAGAATAAAAGTAAAACTGTTTCACTATTTGGTCGAGCATTTCAAAAAAAACAGACTTCAAAATCATACCAAATTTTTTTCTTATTCCTTATGAATCCTATAACAGAGATTCACTTGAATTTTTGAGTTTTGTCAATTTGGTTAATAATGATAAGCTGTCTCCATTAACCCTGAATTTTCAAATTTTTGAGGTAAATGGAGACAGCTTGTGATTATTAACCAAATAGATAAAAATCAAAATTTCAAGTGTATTTCTGTTATAGGAGTCAGATGGAATCAGAAAAGAATTTGGTATGATTTTTAAGTCTGTTTTTTTCAAATGCGAGACAAAATACTAAAATAAATAAAAATAAAAAAATTTCAATTGGTTCAACTATTTTATATCTACTACAAATTTTTTTCAAGTTTTTTCATCCCTTAATACAGTAATATAATAAAGGAAACTATTTTCTTAAAACTTTCTTAGAAACTATGCTGTGCCCATTTACCCCAAATTTTATGAAATTTTCAAAATTTTGGGGTAAATGGGGACAGTCAGTTTCATGCGTTCAAAGCTTATATACATTTTTTTCTGCTGCATAAAATTAATCCTGGGAATGTAAATAACAACTTAAAAAAAATAAATTAGAAAATATTATCTTTTAAAGGAAGAAACTTACGTAATTTGTGAAAAATAGCGATTATGTCCCCATTTACCCCAACTGACCCTACATTTTAAGAAGACTAATAAAAATAAAATTATTATATAGAATTTTTTTACTTACCCTGAATGGCCACTTATAAAGCAAAACAACTATGTCGAATTGTCTCTGATAGAGGAATAATGCCACGAAAACTAGAAGGACAGTTAAATAGTTTAATATTTGACTTTATCAAGCAAAATTTTATTAATTTTTTTTTAATATTGTACGTCGTTAAATATTTATTTTTATTGTTGTTGATATATCGATATATATTTAGTTTTAAGAATTTAATTTTTTAAACGTTTCTTATTTTTTACTGCTTTAAAATTGTTCACATTTATTAAATGTATTTCGATATGTAAAAGAAAATATTGAAGAAATTTGCAAAAAAAACTTTTTTTGTAGATACAGAAATGAAGCAATAAAAGTTAGAAGGATATTATAAAACATTTTAACGTTTTACTTTATCAAGCAAAATTTTATTAATTTTTTTTTAATATTGTACGTCGTTAAATATTTATTTTTATTGTTGTTGATATATCGATATATATTTAGTTTTAAGAATTTAATTTTTTAAACGTGTCTTATTTTTTACTGCTTTAAAATTGTTCACATTTATTAAATGTATTTCGATATGTAAAAGAAAATATTGAAGAAATTAGCAAAAAAAACTTTTTTTGTAGATACAGAAATGAAGCAATAAAAGTTAGAAGGATATTATAAAATATTTTAACGTTTTACTTTATCAAGCAAAATTTTATTAATTTTTTTAATATTGTACCTATGTCGTTAAATATTTATTTATACTGTTGTCGACATTTATCGATATATTTTGTTTTAAGGATTTAATTTTTCAAACGTGTCTTATTTTTACTGCTTTAAAATTCTTTTGTTAAGTTAATTATTTATTTTGAATAAACTTTAAACTTTTTAATTTTGTCAATTAAAAATAATAAAATAGATTAATTAAACTATTTTGTTAAGTCAAAGAAATATTTTCTCTGATTATAACGGATTTTAAAAATTTCCTTTAGATGAAAAATAAGATTAAAAAATCTTGTTTTTTTGAAAGAATAACAGTTATATCAGTTGTAGGTAGGGTCAGTTGGGGTAAATGGGGACAAGAGGTTTTAGAGCTTAATTTACAGTCTTAAAATTAAGTTCAAGGTCAATATTTTAACCTCAGATCACCTGCAAGAGGTTTTGACTATTGCCAAGCTTTTCTCTTGACAATTGGCAGCAAGATAAAAAAAGTTATCGCTCAATGCATAAAATCTTGAGAATAAAAGTAAAACTGTTTCACTATTTGGTCGAGCATTTCAAAGAAAACAGACTTCAAAATCATACCAAATTTTTTTCTTATTCCTTATGAATCCTATAACAGAGATTCACTTGAATTTTTGAGTTTTGTCAATTTGGTTAATAATGATAAGCTGTCTCCATTAACCCTGAATTTTCAAATTTTTGAGGTAAATGGAGACAACTTGTGATTATTAACCAAATAGATAAAAATCAAAATTTCAACTGTATTTCTGTTATAGGAGTCAGATGGAATCAGAAAAGAATTTGGTATGATTTTTAAGTCTGTTTTTTTCAAATGCGAGACAAAATACTAAAATAAATAAAAATAAAAAAATTTCAATTGGTTCAACTATTTTATATCTACTACAAATTTTTTTCAAGTTTTTTCATCCCTTAATACAGTAATATAATAAAGGAAACTATTTTCTTAAAACTTTCTTAGAAACTATGCTGTGCCCATTTACCCCAAATTTTATGAAATTTTCAAAATTTTGGGGTAAATGGGGACAGTCAGTTTCATGCGTTCAAAGCTTATATACATTTTTTTCTGCTGCATAAAATTAATCCTGGGAATGTAAATAACAACTTAAAAAAAATAAATTAGAAAATATTATCTTTTAAAGGAAGAAACTTACATAATTTGTTAAAAATAGCGATTATGTCCCCATTTACCCCAACTGACCCTACATTTTAAGAAGACTAATAAAAATAAAATTATTATATAGAATTTTTTTACTTACCCTGAATGGCCACTTATAAAGCAAAACAACTATGTCGAATTGTCTCTGATAGAGGAATAATGCCACGAAAACTAGAAGGACAGTTAAATAGTTTAATATTTGACTTTATCAAGCAAAATTTTATTAATTTTTTTTTAATATTGTACGTCGTTAAATATTTATTTTTATTGTTGTTGATATATCGATATATATTTAGTTTTAAGAATTTAATTTTTTAAACGTGTCTTATTTTTTACTGCTTTAAAATTGTTCACATTTATTAAATGTATTTCGATATGTAAAAGAAAATATTGAAGAAATTTGCAAAAAAAACTTTTTTTGTAGATACAGAAATGAAGCAATAAAAGTTAGAAGGATATTATAAAACATTTTAACGTTTTACTTTATCAAGCAAAATTTTATTAATTTTTTTAATATTGTACCTATGTCGTTAAATATTTATTTATACTGTTGTCGACATTTATCGATATATTTTGTTTTAAGGATTTAATTTTTCAAACGTGTCTTATTTTTACTGCTTTAAAATTCTTTTGTTAAGTTAATTATTTATATTGAATAAACTTTAAACTTTTTAATTTTGTCAATTAAAAATAATAAAATAGATTAATTAAACTATTTTGTTAAGTCAAAGAAATATTTTCTCTGATTATAACGGATTTTAAAAATTTCCTTTAGATGAAAAATAAGATTATAAAATCTTGTTTTTTTGACAGAATAACAGTTATATAAGTTGTATGTAGGGTCAGTTGGGGTAAATGGGGACAAGAGGTTTTAGAGCTTAATTTACAGTCTTAAAATTAAGTTCAAGGTCAATATTTTAACCTCAGATCACCTGCAAGAGGTTTTGACTATTGCCAAGCTTTTCGCTTGACAATTGGCAGCAAGATAAAAAAAGTTATCGCTCAATGCATAAAATCTTGAGAATCAAAGTAAAACTGTTTCAGTATTTTGTCGAGCATTTCAAAGAAAACAGATTTCAAAATCATACCAAATTTTTTTCTTATTCCTTATGAATCCTATAACAGAGATTCACTTGAATTTTTGAGTTTTGTCAATTTGGTTAATAATGACAAGCTGTCCCCATTAACCCTGAGTTTTCAAATTTTTGAGGTAAATGGAGACAGCTTGTGATTATTAACCAAATAGATAAAAATCAAAATTTCAAGTGAATTTCTGTTATAGGAGTCATATGGAATCAGAAAAGAATTTGGTATGATTTTTAAGTCTGTTTTTTTCAAATGCGAGACAAAATACTAAAATAAAAAAAAATAAAAAAATTTCAATTGGTTCAACTATTTTATATCTACTACAAATTTTTTTCAAGTTTTTTCATCCCTTAATACAGTAATATACTTAAGGAAACTATTTTCTTAAAACTTTCTTAGAAACTATGCTGTGCCCATTTACCCCAAATTTTATGAAATTTTCAAAATTTTGGGGTAAATGGGGACAGTCAGTTTCATGCGTTCAAAGCTTATATACATTTTTTTCTGCTGCATAAAATTAATCCTGGGAATGTAAATAACAACTTAAAAAAAATAAATTAGAAAATATTATCTTTTAAAGGAAGAAACTTACGTAATTTGTGAAAAATAGCGATTATGTCCCCATTTACCCCAACTGACCCTAAATTTTAAGAAGACTAATAAAAATAAAATTATTATATAGAATTTTTTTACTTACCCTGAATGGCCACTTATAAAGCAAAACAACTATGTCGAATTGTCTCTGATAGAGGAATAATGCCACGAAAACTAGAAGGACAGTTAAATAGTTTAATATTTGACTTTATCAAGCAAAATTTTATTAATTTTTTTTTAATATTGTACGTCGTTAAATATTTATTTTTATTGTTGTTGACATATCGATATATATTTAGTTTAAAGAATTTAATTTTTTAAACGTGTCTTATTTTTTACTGCTTTAAAATTGTTCACATTTATTAAATGTATTTCGATATGTAAAAGAAAATATTGAAGAAATTTGCAAAAAAAACTTTTTTGTAGATACAGAAATGAAGCAATAAAAGTTAGAAGGATATTATAAAACATTTTAACGTTTTACTTGTTAGGAAACGCGAGAATTAAACAAAAAGCGTAATTACTGCGCAAACGAGAAGTGCGCATGTGTGTGGGTACGCGGACCCAAAAAAGGCGAAAAAACGGGATTGAATGTGCGTCCGTCGAGCGATTAACAAGTAATGTGCGAAAAGTGTACGAGAACGAATTAAAATTAGTCTGTATAAGTTCATATGTGCGATATGGGTTTAATAGTTTTATTAACGTTAAATTATATTTTGTGAAAACCCTTTTGCAACAGTTATTTCTTGAATATATGTTTAATTTTCATTAAACCGATTGTGGAATCACTTGAACAATACTTTTCCTTCACCACGCTATTCCTCGCCACTCTAACTTTTATTAATTATTTAATTTTCTATCACTTCAGAAGTGGGATAGCGAAGAAAAAAAAAAATCAAGTGTAAGTGACGTGAACGTTCGACATAAAATTGCAGAGTCCATGTGCAAAATTTTATTCAAAGGTGTATTGTAAAAACGTGGCCGGTGAAAAATTCACAATGGCGTCGTTTCGATTTTGAAAAGTGCGCGAGTGAAAATTGTGAACCCCAAAAACGAAAGAAAATTTATAATCATGGCGACCTATAATGGTATTCCATTACAGGACTTCGAGGAATTCGAGGAGAACATGCAATTAACTCCAAACGAAAATGTACTGCGAAGACCCTATCAACCACGTGGTCGAGGAAAATGGACTCCAGGACAGAACGGCAATGGTGCCGGAAGCCAACGTAGACCCGGAGATGACGTATTTAACCGAAGATTCAGCGGAGATGCTCCCTTACATGGCAATCAAAATCCCGAAAATGTCCGAGCACGAACCGAATTGTTCCAAGACGGTGGGGATGACTTAGCGAATCCAACAGATAGCGCCGAGAACGCAGCCCCTCTTCAACCACCTCTTTTTCAACCACCCCCTCTTCATATACCACCTCCAGTTCAACGTAACGAGAACGTTGATACACGCTGGGAAAACTTGATGGCTCATTTGATTGAAGACGGACGACGTCGAGATGAAATGTTTATGAATCTTTGCGAACGTGTGATGGCAAGAGATCAAGGTCCTGTAACACCAGCACCAAATCCAATCCCTAATTACCATATTATGCCTGATCTTTCGAAAAGCATAAACGATTTTTCAGGTGAGATTGGAACATCGCGTGCTAAGGAATGGTTAGAGTCTATTGATAGTATGAAAGTTTTGCATCAATGGCCCGACAACTTCGCACTCGAAACAGCTCGTATGCACATGATAGACGGCGCACGAAGTTGGTACCAAATAAGAAGAACCGAGTTAATCACTTGGGAATTGTTTCGCGCAGCTTTCACTAGAAGCTTTATCATTCATGATAATTTACCGCAAAAATGGATGAGAATGAAAGAACGTGTTCAAAGACAAAATGAACCGTTAACGTCATATTATTATCATAAAATTAAATTATGTCGCGAATTAAATCTCGGAACCGCAGAAATCAAAGAAATGATTTTAATCGGTCTATGGTCTCGAGAACTTTGCAACGCAATGTCAGCGAAAAATCATACGGACGTGGACAAACTGCTCCATGATATGTTAGATTTCGAACGGATACACTCTGAACGAGGAGAACGTATACGTGCCAAGAAGGATGTGAAACCAGAAATCGCGAAGAAAGAATCGATCAACTTTACAAAACCACAATCGTCGGACGATTCGAAAAACACAAAACTGAGTTCGAAACCACCTGGTCAAGCAAATCCAGATCGACGACCCCCTGTCCGCAATTCCGAAGGACAACCAAAGTGTTATAATTGTAATAATTATGGACACATTTCGAAAAATTGCCCCGATCCACCCAAGACTTTAATGTGTATCAAATGTGGTGCACAGGGTCATACTCAACGTCATTGTCCCAAGGATACAACGCCAGTGAATAAGGAAGTGAATCAGCTGGAACGAACAGAACCGGACAATTCAGTGCGGAAGTATATTAAAGAGGTGAAATTAAATGATAATGCTTTGATTGGGTTAATTGATACGGGTGCAGCAGAATGCACAATCAAAACGTCCTTGGTCGAAAAATATAAATTTCCCATTCACGAAGAAAGCATTGTGTTAAAAAGTTTCGGTCCTCAACATTTTTTAACAAATTGCCCTGGTTTTGTGCAAGCACAAGTGTTGGTGGACGGAGTGACAGTGCCAAGTGTACGCTTTCTAATTGTCCCGGATGACAATCAGATGGTAGATGTTTTGATTGGCAGATCATTTACCGACTCAAAATTAGTGGATTACTATAAAGTGGGTGACACGTTGACTTTTGTGAGCAGTGAATTTGCACGTTTAGGAAATGTCACAGTGGAGGAACCCTCTTCAATAAAGTTCACAGTGCCGAGTGAGATTGTGTTGCCCCCACGTTCGATCAACTTTATACAAGTCATGCACAATGAGGATAAATTTGTGATCCCAGTGATGAACGTGCAATGTGATCCACGCAAATTGAAAGAAGGAGCGGTCATCGCAGAGGCATCGATTATTTCCCCACCAATTTCTCATGAATCACCACCACCACTACCGAAGGAGTTGGATCCGATCCTACCAGAGGAAATCGTCGTAGAGGAAAATCTATCAGGTGACATTCTGATGGATTTAACAGGTATTTTAAATGATTATCGTACTTGTGTCGCGAAAAATGTTTCGGAAATTGGATGTACTAGTTATATCGAGATGGACATTCAAGAACTTCCAAATAGTAGACCGGTAGTGCGAAAACCATACATAATGAGTGAAGAAGAACGAAAAATGACGCGTGAAATTTTAAAAGCATATCGAGAATTAGGGTATGTTACAGATACAAATTCAACGTATGCAAGTCCAGTATTTTTGATTAAAAAGAAAAACGGAGAATATCGGCTCGTGGCAGATTATCGCGCGTTAAACCTTCAAACGTTAAGAATACATTTTCCCCTCCCGAACATCGACGATCAACTTTTGAGACTTGGCGATTGCTGCTTATTCATCGTGTTGGATCTCGCACAGGGATACATGCAAGTTCCCCTCTCAGCAGAGGCTCGAGCGAAGACCGCCTTCATTACCCCAGACGAATCAGGTGAATTTACGCGCATGATTTTCGGCCTCATGAACGCTCCCTTCTACTTCTCGAAATTAATGTCACGTGTATTGAGCCCGCTCAGAGACGAAGGAGTTTTATTTTATCTCGATGATATTTTGATTACGGGAAAAGATTGGCCGACTATTCGAAAGCGATTTATTGCAGTATTAGAAGCGTTAAAAAAGGCAGGTTTAGCAATAAATTTAAAAAAATGTCAATTTCTTTTGTCAAAAGTTTCGTATTTGGGCTTCGAGATTTCTGAAAAAGGAATTCAACCGGGGAAAAATAAGTTAGAAGCGATTACTAATTTTCCTACTCCCAAAAATGTTCATGATGTACGACGATTTTTAGGTCTCATTGGATTTTTTAGGCGATATATTCACAAATTTGCGACTATTGCCGCCCCGTTATATTGTTTGTTAAAGAATAATCAAGTTTTCAAATGGGAAAAAGATCAAGAAAATGCTTTTCGTTCGTTGATCGACATGTTAGTCAAAGCACCGATTTTACAACCATTTCAACCCGATTTACCGACGGAATTACACACTGATGCCAGTGCGTTAGGATTAGCAGCAATGCTGATGCAACGAAACGCATCAAATCAGTTACAGCTCGTGTATGCTATTAGTCGACGAAATAATGAACCCGAACGTTCTTATCATTCTAGTAAATTAGAACTTCTCGCAGTTGTATGGGCGATAACTCGATTTAGACGATGGTTAATTAACATAAGATTTACGGTTGTTACCGATTGCAGTGCATTATTGTATCTAAACACACATAAATCGAAAAATCCGCAAATTGTTCGCTGGTGCAATGAACTTTCTGAATACAAGTTTGATGTTGTGCATCGTCCCGGTACGAAGTTAGCGCATGTAGATGCACTTAGTCGCGCGCCTGTGGAAGAGGATGATTCAAATAATTTCATGGAACAATGTGAAGGCATTTTTAATTTAGTGCAACCCGAGCAAGAAATTTTAACTTTTCAATTCGTCGATGAAAAATTAAAGCGTAAAAAGGAAATTTTGTTAAAAGCGGAAAACGAGAGATCAAATTCAGAAAAATCGGATGTGCGAGATTATGAGTTAATAAATTCGATTTTATATAAACGCGAAGGGGTAAAGAAATTATTTGTTGTACCGTCAGCGATGAGAAAGAGTTTAGTTATTCGATATCACGACCTTCAAAGTCACACGAGCGCGGATCGTACAGTTGAAAAGATTCGAGAATTTTACTTCTTTCCGGGAATGTATCGTTATGTGCGGCAACATGTAAGAAGTTGCATACAATGTATTTTGTCGAAAGCGAAAACAGGTTGTCAAGCTGGACAGTTACACCCGATTAACCCTGGAACTAGGCCGTTTGCGAAAGTTCACGTAGATCACGTAGGTCCATTTGTGACAACAGCATCGAAAAACACACACGCTTTGGTTTTAACAGATACGTTAACGAGATTTGTAATTTGTAAACCAGTGAGAGATACAAAAGCGTCAAATGTAATTCGCGTGTTAGAAGATGTAATTCTTGACTTCGGAGCACCCGAGAGAATTATCAGCGACCGAGGGACGTGCTTTACATCGAAAGCTTTTTTGGATTTTTGTATGAAACACGGAATCAAGCACACGGTAAATTCCCCGAGACACCCGCAAGCAAACGGATTGGTTGAACGCACAAATTCAACCTTGATTCCCGCGATTCAAGCGAACATTGTGCATCGCGAAGGACGAGATTGGGACAAGCATCTTAAAAAAATACAACGGGATTTAAACGCTTCCCCCAATAAAACTACGAAAAAGAGCCCCTTTGAATTGGTTTATGGCTATATCAATCGTCACGATGAAGGCCCCCTACGAAGTTTTACCATTGAAGATGAAAAACGCGTGTCTTCACCAAGTCAACTCCAGGAGGAGGCAAGGGTTAACATCGAAAACGGACAACGTCGTTACAAAGAAAAATATGATCAAAAACACAATCCGAAGGTCACTTTTGCAGTTGGTGAAATAGTTTTTATGAAAGATGCCCCGCAAATCACTCACGAATCAACGAAATTGCAGAGAAAATATCGAGGTCCTTTGGTGATAAACAAATTATATCCTGGGGATACGTACGGCGTGACCAGTTTGCAGCTAGATTCTCGTGGACACCGATATGCGTCTACAGCCCATGCAAGCCAATTGAAAGGTTGGACTTCAAAAACCAGCAATGAAATTTCCGACGACGAAGAGAACGAGGAAGAACAAGAAGAGAATCTTTCTCAACATAGCGAAAATTCTCCCGAAGAAAATAATAGCGATAAATTAAATGAAAGCGTCGATAGCGAAAATTGTAATGAAGTGAATGAGAGTGAGAGTGAAATGGTCACAAGACCCCGACGTACCGTAAGACGTCCAAAAAGATACAACGATTATGTTATGTAAGTTCGAGTTAAATGGCGAAAAATATATATTGTTACACTTGTATGAGAATTAAAAAAAAAAAAAAAAAATTTTTTATGTTTGAACATTTTTCTTAAAAATGTCACTCGAGGTCGAGTGAATAAGTCAGGATGCCCGAGTGTTAGGAAACGCGAGAATTAAACAAAAAGCGTAATTACTGCGCAAACGAGAAGTGCGCATGTGTGTGGGTACGCGGACCCAAAAAAGGCGAAAAAACGGGATTGAATGTGCGTCCGTCGAGCGATTAACAAGTAATGTGCGAAAAGTGTACGAGAACGAATTAAAATTAGTCTGTATAAGTTCATATGTGCGATATGGGTTTAATAGTTTTATTAACGTTAAATTATATTTTGTGAAAACCCTTTTGCAACAGTTATTTCTTGAATATATGTTTAATTTTCATTAAACCGATTGTGGAATCACTTGAACAATACTTTTCCTTCACCACGCTATTCCTCGCCACTCTAACTTTTATTAATTATTTAATTTTCTATCATACTTTATCAAGCAAAATTTTATTAATTTTTTTATATTGTACGTCGTTAATATTTCTTTTAACTTTTGTTGATATATCGAAATATTTTTACATTCTCATCATAATGAGAAGGTATTACATTTGGGCGATTTTGTGCCCTCTCTAATTCCAGTGAATCTCGACGTTTTGAGACCTTCTGATGCCGAAAAAATGGGTCTTAAAAAAATATCTGTCTGTATGGATGTCTGTATGTATGTCTGTAGACAAATTTTGTCCGACGATAACTCGAACAAATTTTAATGAATCGACTGCAAATTTGGTATACACTTTAAGTGTATCAAAATCTCGCCTGAGTTCGTTGGCCAGATGATTTCATCAAAAATCAACAAAATTATTCAAATTTTGAATTTTTAAAAATTCCTAAAATTCGCATTTTTCAAAAAAAAAAAATTTTCAATTTTTTTTCGAAAAATACGAGTAAAAATAAACACTTTTTTCTTTTGACAATTTTTAATAGCGATTAAAACAAAAAAGTTATACCTCTTTTTTTAAAAAATCGGACAAGTCCGAGTTACACTCGCATTAAAACCGAGGGTTCCGTACCCTTAAACTTAAAATTTAAGGGGGTTAAACATAGATTTGAAAATAAATTAATAAAACTAAAAAATAATAAAAATGTCAACAAATAAAAAATGTCAAAAGATAAAAAAAATAGCAAATGGTAAAAAATAGAAAATGGCAAATTATAAAGAATGGCAAAACACTACAAAAAAATATAGCAAGCACAATTGGAGTTGAAAAAAAAGAGTAGGAATTTGCCCCAAAAAAAGGAATAAAATTTTATCTTTCTGGGTCAAAAATTGTAAAACTTAAGGAAAAAGTCCACTTTTAAAAAAAATTATATGTTTTGAAAAAACTCAATTAAATTAATTGCCTATCATGTTTATTAAATTTTTACTATAATCTGCACTCAAAAATACGTAAAAGTGTATAAATTTCAAGCTCTTTAGATAAAATTTTCTTCATTTTTTGAGGAAAATTCATGATTTTTATCGAAAATTATCAGTTTTTCCTTGAAAACGCTATGATAATCAACTCCAATCGTTCTCGCTATATTTTTTTTGTAATCTACACGCAAAAATACATAAAAAAGTATAAATTTGGATCTCTTAGGATAAAATTTTCTTCTTTTTTTATTCGAAAAATGCATGATTTTTTCTATAAATATGAGTTTTCCTTAAAAACAATATGATCATCAACTCCAATCGTGCTCGCTATATTTTTCCTGTAATCTACACGCAAAAATACGTAAGTATACCAAATATGAACTGTCTTGGTCAAATAGTGTGTGCGTTAGGTGGATTAAACGCTTTTTTTCAAAATTTTTGATTTTTCCTTGACAACGCTATGTAAATTGATCTGAATCATGTTCGCTATATTTTTCCTGTAATTTTCACGTAAAAATACATAAGTGTACCAAATTTGAGCTCTCTATGTAAAAAGATGTGGCAACCAGGGGGGGGGGGTACATAGTCATTTTCAGGGATTTTTCGTAAAAATTCATGGTTTTTCCTTGACAACGCTATGATAATCAATTCCTATGAGATTCGCTATATTTTTCCTGTAATCTACACGCCAAAATACATATGTATACCAAATTTCAGCCCTCTAGATAAATTCGTGTGGTCGCTAGGGGGGGGTACATGCCTTGCTTCACTAGTCTCATTAATAGGGTTCCCCCTTCGGGTACGGAACCCTAAAAAGGACAAAAAAAGACAAAAACGGATGAAAAATGGGTAAAATGCAGGGCAAAATTACTTTATTTTGAGAAAACATGAGCAACTATGTATTATCTCTGTTTAAACCACCTTAAATTAACACAAATTACAGTAACTTACTAATAAAATTATAAATTTTTTGTTTTTTTTAAATTTTTAATTAAAAATTTATTTTTACATTCTCATCATAATGAGAAGGTATTACATTTGGGCGATTTTGAGCCCTCTCTTATTCCAGTGAATCTCGACGTTTTGAGACTTTCTGATGCCGAAAAAATGGGTCTTAAAAAAATATCTGTCTGTATGGATGTCTGTATGTATGTCTGTAGACAAATTTTGTCCGACGATAACTCGAACAAATTTTAATGAATCGACTTCAAATTTGGTATACACTTTAAGTGTACCAAAATCTCGCCTGAGTTCGTTGGCCAGATGATTTCATCAAAAATCAACAAAATTATTCAAATTTTGAATTTTTAAAAATTCCTAAAATTCGCATTTTTCAAAAAAAAAAAATTTTTAATTTTTTTTTCGAAAAATACGAGTAAAAATAAACACTTTTTTCCTTTGACAATTTTTAATAGCGATTAAAACAAAAAAGTTATACCTCTTTTTTTTAAAAAAGACAAAAACGGATGAAAAATGGGTAAAATGCAGGGCAAAATTACTTTATTTTGAGAAAACATAAGCAACTATGTATTATCTCTGTTTAAACCACCTTAAATTAACACAAATTACAGTAACTTACTAATAAAATTATAAATTGTTTGTTTTTTTTTTATAAGTCCATCAATTGTTATCCATTTCCAAACATTGCAATTGTTTTATAAAAAATCCTCTATTCCAAAATAGTTTATATTGCACTGTTTATACCAGAATTTCTTATGTTTTCGATTACTAACTCGCTGAATCCGAATTTGAGTTCAGATTAAAAAATATCAAAATGGCGGACCCAATATTGCAGAATAATTTTAAATTGATTTGTTTCGTTTAAAATTTTGTACTCGGAAGTTTTTGGGGTCGGTGAATCCAAATTTGAGGTAAATTTTAAAAAATTCAAAATTGCAAATCAATATGGAGGAAATTTTAAAATTGATTCGATTCGTTCAAAATTCGGTACTGGTGGTTTTTTGGCTTCTATGAATCCAAATTTTGAATCTGTTAAATTTTATCCCCAAATTTGATTCAACGACCCCAAAAACCCCCTAGCACCGAATTTTGAATGAATGGAATAAAATTTTAAATTTTTCCGTCATATTGGGTAGCCATATTAGGTCCGCTATTTTAGATTTTTTTAAATCTGACCTTTTTGGATTCAATGACCCCAAAAACTTTTTATACAATTATATGATATTTTTGTGGAAACTTTTTTTTGGTCCGTTTTGAGCCTACAATCGATTTTTATACTAGATTGCTTCTATTTATAGAATTCGAATTCTAATTTTATATTAAAAAATCTTAATTTTACTTTAGAACTAATATGACATACTTAGAGAAAATTTAAAAACACATTGATTGACCTAATTGCAAGGTAATTTTCGTTGAAATACGTGTATCATAAATTTCTAATTAAAATTCTATGTACAATATTTTATCTAACATAACTAGTAAGGAAAGAAATGATTATTAAATTCACCGTATGGTGAATCAGGAATTTTAAGAATGCGGATTCATTATTTTAACTTTTTGAATTGGAATGTAAGATTTTAAATAAAAATTCATTTTAATGAATAATTTCATATTAATAAAAAATGTAATGCATCTGTTCAGACAATTTTGAATTGTATCGAAAAATTTTAAGTTATATTGTCATATTTCTCACAAAATTTAATAATTTTTAATAAACGAACTTTGTAAATAAATTTTACGCTGAAGTGTTAGATTTGCTGCCTTTAAAATTGAAAAGAAACATACCACTGTATATCAACTTACAGGTAATCAGGAAGAATAGCTTGAAAAATGTAAATATGATTTGAATCAAACTCAATTAGAGATTTATTTTTAAGAATGCGAATTCAATACAGCTTCCGACTGATTCAAAAATATTAAATAGCTTTTAATTTCCTTGGTAGCTTAATTTATTTTAATGCAGAAATTTCTTTAAATGGAAAATATATATATTCTTTTAATAATTTTTCTTGTACAGAAATTTGCAAAGGAAATTTAGTAACTAATGTTCCTGCAAAAGTTCCTGTACAGGATCCCTGTTCCAATATCCTGCAAGTGATCCTAGTGTGATCCTGTGTAGAATTCTTAACAGGATTCCTCAGGGAACCTATAAGAATCCTATATTGTAACCTCTAAAAATCCTTTAAGGATTATTTTCAGGAATTTTTAACTAATTGTAAGTATGTTTCAAAATTCAAGACTAAGGTTTTATTACAAGTGTTTAGGAAGTAAACTTCAACTTTGCAGTGGTTTTTTTACATTCTCATCATAATGAGAAGGAATTACATTTGGGCGATTTTGAGCATTCTCTAATTCCAGTGAATCTCGACGTTTTTTTTATAACTCCAACTGTTGTTTTCCATTTCCAAACATTGCAATTGTTTTCAAAAATTCCTCTATTTTAAAATAGTTTATATTGCGCTGTTTATACCACAATTTCGTATTTTTTCGATTATTTACTTTTGAATTGGTTTAAACTCATTTATTTATAGATTTTTTAAATTCTCATTATAAGTTAGAAAGTATTCATTTTGGTCGATTTTGACTTTTTTCTAATTTTA